TTGCTTCTCCACATTTCCCCTTTGATTTACCTTCTCCATGTACATTTATTATGTTTTAATATAAACCTGTTAAAACAATTTAATATAATTAGTTGTATGTTCACTAGATTTGTTATTTTATTATTAATGATGATTACCATTGTTAGCACCCTGCGTCCTATGAATTTTTTGACCAGCTCATTACAAGCATTCTTGGAAATAAAAACATGTCTGGTTGCTACAAGTAGTTGTCCATCGAATCCAAGGATATCATCTCAAAGCAAATCTATATACAGAAAAAAACATAAGTCGTTAAAACCCAATCTATACAATAACAAGGCAAAAGTGATAATTTTTTTAACAGAAATTTAGATTTTTAAAAGCAGAATAATGGTTTTCAGGTTTATTTTACATATTTTGACTATAAAACGAAGGCAAATTTCCGCGGCGTGGTCACATCCATATGAAAAATCTAAAAACATCCTCTAAATCTGTTTTCAAAATTCAAAGATTCTAACAAAACCCTAATTATTCAGCCTCAAATAAACCAAGAATATATTACAATTAACATTAGATGAGTGAACAGGCAAAAAAGACTTATGCTGGAGCACGAAGCCAACACGCTCATTCTATTACAATTATCCTTATAAAACTGCAAAACTTAGTGTATTTTAACTACTTGTATCAATTTCTAAGAATTAATACAATCTTTCGAAGTAAATCAATTAAAAATAATATTAATGTGGACACTTTGTTAACATAACAATGGCATATTCATGGGTGTATTTAAATCACGATTTAAACACATAATAATAAGTTTTGCATTAAGCAAAGCATCTTGCGTAACGAATTAAGTTAATATTCAGGGTAGGCCAGTACATTCTTACCTTAAAGATGAACAAAATGTGCAGTAAGAGTCGTACCATCTGTTTGATCATAATATCCCATAAACTTATATGCTTTCTTTCAGAGATGAACCTGTGGAACAGAACAACGAAAAACGAATTAGATGTACTATTAATTAACAATACATGAAAACTAAGACGTAACTGAATGCAAGCTGATACAAGTAAAGTAAAATTATAAAACGATAATGATGCCAACATACCGTCTCAAAATGGGAACAGACATGACACAGATACTCAAGATAACAATAGATACAGAATACAAAAATGAGACCATTCCTGTAATCTAATGGTGCATGTAATCACATTCTGTGGTTCGTCATGGATAGTCTTAACCTTATTTTGAATAAAATTAATTTATTATATATGTTATTTATTGTAATTTATTTATATACAGCAAACTGAAACCAATAGTAAAAAAATTTTATTGTTGTAGGGTGTTTGCTATTTATGTTGCTGATTATTTTTGTATTGGAACATTATACAAGTTTTTTGTTATAAAACAAGCACTAAGAAGTAATCAAGTGAAATACGAAAACAGATATGGACAATTTTTCAAAGCTGTTGGAGGAAGAATCAGAATCTATCAATAGTTCATTAGAAAAAATTGAACAAGAAGTGGATAGTCTTTATCACCGAAAGAACAACACCGATGAAGAAACACATGCTGCATTAAGTATTTTAGAGAAAATCAGTGATACTGAAACTGCCCTAAATGAAATGCTGGAACAAGTAGAGAGGGAAAACGTTTATTTAAGTAAGAAGACAGATGAAACAAGAGCCGATTTAAAAACAATGTCAAAACTTGTAGATGATATAGAGAAAACTTTAGCAGTGAAGTGTAGTAGTTCGACTGATACAAAAACAGAATCATCACCAGATGTTTTTTTTAATAAAAAAGACGTTGTTAGTACCATCAAACAAGAGGAGGATTCAAGAGATCTTAGTACATGCCTTGACGATTTGGAAGAAGAAATTAGTTCTTTATATGAAAATTAGAACATTCTTCTACTTGTAATTGTTTTGATCATATTCAATAATGTGCTACATAAGATCACTGCCATTTTGTATCTTATTTTGGAGATACTAGGTATGGTATTTATCACTTTTTTTAAAGTATTTATTTTGAAATGTAAATTATTTATAACTGGTATTCAAGTTGTATTGGAGCTAAAGTGGTTTGAATATAATATTAAAAATAATAATTTCCTTTTATTATCATCAAATACATGATAACTTCATAACGTTTTATGCTTTTAAAAATATATCCACATACAAACAAGGCATTCAAAACTAATTATTTTAAATGCATATAAAAACTAGTAATTTCAATTTACTCTTGGTTTGCACAATCACTAGCATTTATCAAATAAAATTTAAATAATAATAATATTTGTCTGATGCATATGTGCTATCACAGTTAACAAAAAAGAATGCTAGGGTATAAATCAAGACATGTAACCATAAATGTACAGGTGCATATGCTATTAGTTCATTAGAAAAAAAAATCTTCCAGGCAAGATACTTGTATATCATCTTAGGTAATAGTAAATACACACTGTATAACAAAGTCTTAAGCAAAATAAATTACCAGTGATTCATTTGTTTTAAAAAACCATAATTAAAAAAAATAAAAGTAGTATTGTTTACTATAAGAACTAATACAATAAAAAAAATTAACAAATTGCATCTGATTGCTTTTTTATATGTAGTAAATTTCTAAAATTTATTATGGTCCCAGATGCAATGTTTGTATTAAAATAACTGCGCTTTACAAATACCTTTCCTGGATTGCTTAAACTTTCTTTTACTGATCAATAATAATCGATACGAAACATCTTTGGTTTTCAATTACGCTTACTGTTGTTATCATAAAGTTACTATAAATGAATAAATCCTTGGTCTTTAGAAGTACTTTCTTTGACCGAGTCTAAATTTTTTGAAGAAATATTCGAAGGTACAGTTCCGTAATTTAGAAAAAGTTCGTCGTCTTCACTCTGATACAGACCTAAGTCGATCGGAGCACTAGACGACGTTTTAGACATTAAATTTGCATACTCGTCATTACCTTTAGCCAAGTTGTACGTACTACGTCCTCGAATCCGTCTACTTATTGAACTACCTGTAAATGAACAAATTTTAAAAATATATAATTATTCAAGGCACAATAAAATTAATGACTACCGACACTTTAAGGAATAGTGGTAGTAAGTAAAAGAGACTTACACCTAATTTACTGAAGAACGGACACGTATTTCGCCCACGTGTCAGTTTTACAAAAAAGTGCTGCAGTAAATAGAAAGAAGTGTCTTTTATTTACTTACTTACCACAGTCTCTTTTATTATTCATCCCTATGTATATTACTAAAGGAATAAAATACTTACTGACGATGTTGATGTGTTCTGAAATGTCTCTTTGTACATCTGAAATGTCCCACATCGCAAGGAAAGCACTGCAACATGAAGGTGATGAATCTGATGTAACATAGGGTTTGTAGGAGAAACTGTAATGGTGTGCTACTGCCGCCATACACATCTCAATACATATAAGGAAATTCTTAAAAAAATATAAACATATTTCATATAAAACAAAAAAGAAACGTATTTATAAAAAGTGCCTACCTGTAATCTTTTTGAAACACTTAAGCCATCAACAGTTTGATTTGGATTTGGCAAAATGGTCCTTGAATATACCAAAACATCTATCAAAACACCCTGACTGGAATAAAATTAGAATTAATAATATTGTTGATAAAGAAAAAAATTACACTAGCAACGTTAAAAAAAAAATCAGTGAAGTTACTGAGAAAGCAAAACAAAAGTTGGAAATAAATATTACTCTACAAAAATTAAGTGAAAGAGGGAAACACAACACTGATAAATAACTTCAAATAAGTTACAACTAATCACTGTAACAAGTGAATAAATTAACTTCTATATAAACTTACAAAAATGAAAAAAAGACAACTGCTTTAATGCAAAGAAATTTTGGCAGTGGTTTCATGGGTTTGAGTTCAGATGCTGTTGCTTTGTAGAATAAAACCAAACAGTACATTGCCATAAATTGAGAAAGATTATTGAATGCCACAAGGTAGGGAAATGCTACATTGGCTTTAAACTCACCATCTCCATATACATTATTTACTTTACATATGCTAAAATAATTACTTGTAAACAAACAGTACAGTTAATTTCAAAACCCACTTACAATGATATTGCAGTAGTTAAAGGTCTAATGACAGTGTACTGCAATATTCCATGTTTACACATATGGATAAATTCACTAAAAACAATTGAGTTTAGATAAATATATATGTATGTGTATAATAAAATCAAATTATTTACCGCCCCATTTCCCAATCTGGCAAACAGCACAGTGGAAATATATGTTTGACTTGGGGCTTTATCTCCAAATTTTCTTCTAAATCCATTTCACTATTTAAATAATTTAAAAGAAACTTCATAAAATTGTAGATAACATAAGCCTCATAACATTCTCTTGCACTGTCCATATATATTGATTGATTTGGATATAACAGAACAAGCCACTAAAACAATCTTACATATCAATCTGTAAGATTTCGATAAATAACATTACTCACAGCATTAATGGCATAAATAGGCACCATCCACAAAATCCTATAAAAAATAAAAATTATTGAAAACGTTAATGATTTTTTTATAAAACTGAATTTACCTAATGATATGTTTTTGCAGCTTGGGCTGAGAATAGCATATTACATGTTGTATTATTTCCCATAATGATATTGGTATGGCGACCCAGGCGAAGAAACCAGCTATTAAAATTTCCTGATCTGTTTGATTAAAACCATCTTCAATTGACTTAATAAGAAATAGAGGAACAAGGACAAGCACTGCTATAGCATACAATAAAATAGCTACTGGACGAATCCATAATCGCCATTTGGAGAAACAATTAAAACAACCAGCCATGAGCACAACGTAAAAAATATCACATTTTTTTTATAAATAAAATTATAATATTCTTAACTTTCTACCAGAATGAACGAAAAATGACGTTTATCTTCTTATATACGGTTATGTTATCGTCCATAGATAAGGTTATCGTCATTAATACGTATTTCAATGACGCTCACTTCTATAGATAAAAAAGACGCCGAATTCATATTTAAATACATGTATATATATATAATAAAATATCTAATATGGNATGTTTTTTGTTTTTAAACCATTTACAATTGCTAAAATATTTTACAAAAATATTATTATTTATAGTTTATTACTACTTAAAAACAACATACAACTATAAGGTATAAATTACAAAAAATAAATATTATGAAACTGCACACATTCAAACTTACATGTTATATATACTATTTGTTTATTGATTAATAACTGCACTTTAAATTTCATATTCATCGTCTTTTTGTTTAATTGGATTATCTTTTAAAAGGCTTACAATCATGCTGCAAGTAAAATTGCCAGTATTTGAGCTTATGATGTGTCCACAACATCCTACAAAACTTATACTTACCAATACAAATAGATGAAGAAAAACAGCATATAGTAGCCTACATAAATCATGCAATCTCGCATGTGTTTCTTTAGCTGTCCCCTATTGTGTATTTCTGTTGGGTCATATACTCCCAAGTTACCTTTTGGTACTTTTAAAATTTCATAAGCCAACCATGCCGTCATTGGTATGTTTGCAAGCATTAATAACCAGTGACCATGTAAAAGCAAAAGTGACTGTAGAAACACATGAGCTATTAATTTTGGCATTATCCATACATTTAATTTTGAACAACATTGCTGTGCATTTAAATAATCACATTCTAAGTCTGAAAGTGTAATAACCTACAAATCCCTATTAAGGAAAACATTACGCTTAGACACAGAAAACAAACCACTCAAATCATAAAAAGGATACAAAATAAATTAATAAAAATAGTACCGCTCCAGAGTCGATAAGAGCAAAAGAAAAAACAAATGGATCAGAAAAAATCATGTTCGATCCTTTTTTGTTTACTGTTTTAAAACCATTTTGAAAAACTACCTCATAGATGCACTGATCTCATAGAGAACTGACATATGGCGAAATGAAAATCAAAATTATAGAGTTCACCACTGAAAATCGAACGGCTAAACGTGAATTTTTAATCTATGATGTGAAGAAATAAATACTACTATATCCATTATTTATGTCTAACCTGCAAAACCTCTAATTATTTCGACTACAAAACTGTATACGTTTTGAAAGTATATTTATCTAATTCGACTATTTTTTGATAGTGCAACTTCTAGGAATGAACCATTTTTAACATAATACTAGATTCTATAAAAAATTATAACAGATGGAAAATAAGATGACTGCTTCTAAACACTTTCTCTGAGAAAACTAACAGTATGGTTTTTTTGAAGGACCCTTGCGGAATTGCTTGCTTAAGTTTTACATATGTGGCTATTTTGTATGCAGATTTTGTTGTGGTTAGATGGATTATTATAGAGACAATGTCAGACAGGTAAATATGTTTGCAGTACATCATCATCATCCATTAAATAATAATAGTTACTAACAATTTTTAGTTCATGGGGTTCATTTAATATTGTGTTATTTAATGTTATATTATCTTTGTTGTTGGTATCACATTTCCGTGCTGTGTTTTCTGATCCAGGAATTGTACCACTTCCTCGTAATAGATTAGACTTTTCTGACATATATTCAACACAAAAAAGTAAAAATAAATTCTTTGTCAAGTTTTAAAGAAGAATGTTTGTTTGTGTATTGTTTTTCAGATGATTGTGGTCATACAGGCTGGACTGTATGCACAAAATGTGAAACATATCGGCCACCTAGAGCTTATCATTGCTGTATTTGCAAAAGATGTATTAGACGAATGGATCATCATTGCCCCTGGATAAATAACTGTGTTGGTGAAAGAAATCAAAAATATTTTATGCAGTTCTTACTTTATGTAGGTCAGTCTACCTTTATTATTTTATTTCCACGTTGTTATTTTAATATAATTAATTGCAGGGCTTTTATGTCTTTACACATTTGTTTTATTGGCTTTTTCATGGACTACAGAATGTAAAGTTTGTGGCATCTCAATTCTAGATAGGCAAGCAAGAATGTGTGTATTAACTGGAATACATTGAAGGGAAAAATTACTGATATAATTTAACTCATTTTAGGATGCACTCTATAATTTTACTACTAGAATGTATTTTATTTGGGTTATTCGTTTTAATAATATTAATTAATCAAGTTCAAGCGATTTTTGAGGACGAAACTGGAGTAGAGCAAACACAAAATATGGGAAATTACCGACCTCGTAAGCCAAGACTGGCCCTATTAAGTGACGTTTGTGGAAGACAGTATCCCATATTGTGGCTATTTCCATGCACAAGTGTCTCTAAAAAATTTGATACTCCCTTAATCGATTATCACGTATAGTACAAAACACAATGATATATACGAAAATGTAGGTCATATATTATGATTAACAAAGAACAATTAACATGTGCATCCATAATTAAAACGCGTTTTGACACCCAAGGTGTCATCCTCAGGTTGAGATGCGTTTTAGCTTTATAAACATTTTTGTGGAATTTTTGGGCTTTTTAAGTGTTTATCTATTAACCGCTATTAATTAAAAATTATATTCACGAATTATAGTAATCATATAAATTTAAACCATGCAAATTTATTGATTTGTAAAAATGTATGCTTTTAATATCAATTAAAAATTTTAATGGTGATTAATAATATGCACTTGATGTACCCTACATGTCTGTATATCTAGTTAATTTTGCATTTGGGAACTTTTTCTTTGTTTAGCTCTTACACGTTAGCATTTATCACACATAGTGGATCATTTTAATCTATTATGGCAAGTATTTCGTGATGTAAACCACCAATTAAAAAATGATCTTAATAAAAGTTGTTGCGGCCCCCAACTTTTTGAAACACATCAATCACTGAACCATAGCATTAGATGGCCCCCTTCTACAGTTTGCTGTAATAGACTAAAATGGTAAATTTTGATAATAAACCACTTGTGTATTTTACTCAGGTTATTTCTTATATAAAACATAATTTAATTTAATTAAATTGTGATAGTTGTTAATTTTATATACGTATGAAGAGACAATGTCTTAATTTATATCATTAAATGTATCATGTGATATTTATACATTAATTTTTATATATGTTTGACAGTTCATATTAGTATTTTTAATGTATTATTTTTAAATCGAAAACTAGTCATCAAAATTTATCTTTACCTATAATTGGAAAATATTAATATTTTGTCTGTCACAAATTATAAAATAGTTAATAACTTTTTTTAGAAAACGTCAATATACATATATTTCTTTTCGTTTTTTTTTTTTAATTATGAATGAAACAGTTTCTTTTTTTAATGGTTTACTTAGTAAAATTAGTCATTTGCTTAATTATGATAAACATTCTTATGGAAAACGTTTTCTATTTACATAAAATATATACGTAAACTGCACAAAATAAAAAAGAACGAATCGTCCAAAGAGCAACGATGTTTCGATTTTTTTAAGTAGTGCTATATTTACACTGTAACTGTGGCTTCACATTCAAACAATTAAGTCCTTTTTTTATAACTGTATTTTTATACATTTAACGGTATAATCGCGTTAACTTCTTCAGTGCTTGCGTAATTGATTTTGAGGTTTTTGACCTGCAATAAAATGATTACGAATTGTAAGGATTGCAAGGAATAATTTCAAATTTATATTGAAATATACTAATTTGCAGTTGCCGTGTACGTTGTTTAGATGAATTTACATAATTTTTTAATTTAAAATGAAAATTATGATTAGACTGATTAAGCCACCTGAGCAATGAATTGTTTATTTGAAACCCTCTCAGCATTTCTCTCACTTTGTTTTATTTAGGAGTTTAATATTGCCCATTTTTAAAAGAATAATAACGAAGTGTTACTTAAGTAATTACTGACTAAAAATAAAATATGACTTACTCGATCACGGTTTCGTGAAAGTTGCTTAGCTGCTGTGGAGTGGCTGTTATTATGCCCCCATTAACTTGTTTTGGTAACGTTTCCAAAGCGATCGTAAGCCACTCGCCGGTGAACTTCTTATCCCAATTCAGCAACTCTACAAGTACGTCGGCCACTTCTGCGAGCATATACGAGTGCAAATAAAATACACACGCGTGCAGTAAATTGGTAACCAGTTGTTGTCCATAACTTGTCAGGATTTCAGTGACAATATCCTGCCGTTTTTTGAAATCGGGCTGCTGCTTACTCCCTTGACTCACAGCTATTAAACCGTAAAGAAACTTCATTACTGATGTGTTTGCTTCCTTATGATCCAAATTACAGGCAGATAGAGAGCACTCTAGTATAGGAGACATTGCTTCGCATTCCAAGAAGGGCAGTGGAGCCCTTTGAAGGAATCTAGCGCACAATCTGTATTGAAAACGCAAAGCATAAGAAAAAATGATGAGACAAATCCTCAAGTTGTATTACCTAAAGAAGTCGTCTACAGTATCAGGATGATTTCTAAGTCCATCTTTTTCAACAAGCATTTGGAAGGTGGGTTCGATAAAGGCCTTGAGCATCTCCAGAAGTCCAGCCACGCAATCGTTCATCATGGCGTACTCGTCCACTAAGATACTCCCCAAATACAGAAAGCATGAGTGTTTATGAATCAAATAGAGACGGACTAATTGTTCGACGAGCGGTTTTAACAAGTCAGGTACTTGCTGACTCACACAACGTAGCATGAATCTGAGGCTGCGACAGCATCGTTCCATTATGCGCAAATCCCCTTGGTATTTGTCAATAGTGCGTGATAAGGTCGGCCACACTTCTAAAGCGTTTAATCTAATAATAATAATAAAAAAAAACAAAATGAAACTTACGCTTTAAACTTTTTAAAGTTGCTATGTATTTATTTACAAAATACTATTATGATTTCATATCAAACTTACCTACAAGGATTCGGTTCATTTTTCTCTAATTTAATGTTAACGTTTTTAAATATTGACGAGAGTCTATCTAACCACAATACTGGATCACTTTTGGTGCCTTTAATTGGTACAATGCCATTATCTATTAGCTGGCAGAGTGGAGTCATTTGAAAAGAACACAGTTCTCTCATTGAATTTGTTATTTCAGTATGGGGCATGCAACTAATTATGGCTGCAACCTGGGAAAAAAACGACAATAATTAAACAACCATTAATTATATGCATACAAAATATTCTTTACTAATTCTGACTTGATTATTTGCGTACTTATTGGTAACTATAAAATGTTTAAAAATTAATTTCTTTAATCTAATTGCACAGCAAAAAAAAAATATACGCCCAATTAACGACTGTACTGAAATCTAATTATTAACAGTAGATACACTGTATTTATCCAACAAATTAAGAACTTAACCAACAAATGTAAAACAAAAATGATTTTGGAAAATTAAGAAAGTAGATGGCATAAAATTTTCATTAAATTTTTTGTAATTAACGTTAGCTGTTGACATACATATGTATTAACTGGAACCATATTTAAGCAAAAATATTTGTCTCTTAAGAAATTAATTTCTACTTATGTANTTCTTTATATGAAAATTAGAACATTCTTCTACTTGTAATTGTTTTGATCATATTCAATAATGTGCTACATAAGATCACTGCCATTTCGCTTGTATCTTATTTTGGAGATACTAGGTATGGTATTTATCACTTTTTTTAAAGTATTTATTTTGAAATGTAAATTATTTATAACTGGTATTCAAGTTGTATTGGAGCTAAAGTGGTTTGAATATAATATTAAAAATAATAATTTCCTTTTATTATCATCAAATACATGATAACTTCATAACGTTTTATGCTTTTAAAAATATATCCACATACAAACAAGGCATTCAAAACTAATTATTTTAAATGCATATAAAAACTAGTAATTTCAATTTACTCTTGGTTTGCACAATCACTAGCATTTATCAAATAAAATTTAAATAATAATAATATTTGTCTGATGCATATGTGCTATCACAGTTAACAAAAAAGAATGCTAGGGTATAAATCAAGACATGTAACCATAAATGTACAGGTGCATATGCTATTAGTTCATTAGAAAAAAAAATCTTCCAGGCAAGATACTTGTATATCATCTTAGGTAATAGTAAATACACACTGTATAACAAAGTCTTAAGCAAAATAAATTACCAGTGATTCATTTGTTTTAAAAAACCATAATTAAAAAAATTAAAAGTAGTATTGTTTACTATAAGAACTAATACAATAAAAAAAATTAACAAATTGCATCTGATTGCTTTTTTATATGTAGTAAATTTCTAAAATTTATTATGGTCCCAGATGCAATGTTTGTATTAAAATAACTGCGCTTTACAAATACCTTTCCTGGATTGCTTAAACTTTCTTTTACTGATCAATAATAATCGATACGAAACATCTTTGGTTTTCAATTACGCTTACTGTTGTTATCATAAAGTTACTATAAATGAATAAATCCTTGGTCTTTAGAAGTACTTTCTTTGACCGAGTCTAAATTTTTTGAAGAAATATTCGAAGGTACAGTTCCGTAATTTAGAAAAAGTTCGTCGTCTTCACTCTGATACAGACCTAAGTCGATCGGAGCACTAGACGACGTTTTAGACATTAAATTTGCATACTCGTCATTACCTTTAGCCAAGTTGTACGTACTACGTCCTCGAATCCGTCTACTTATTGAACTACCTGTAAATGAACAAATTTTAAAAATATATAATTATTCAAGGCACAATAAAATTAATGACTACCGACACTTTAAGGAATAGTGGTAGTAAGTAAAAGAGACTTACACCTAATTTACTGAAGAACGGACACGTATTTCGCCCACGTGTCAGTTTTACAAAAAAGTGCTGCAGTAAATAGAAAGAAGTGTCTTTTATTTACTTACTTACCACAGTCTCTTTTATTATTCATCCCTATGTATATTACTAAAGGAATAAAATACTTACTGACGATGTTGATGTGTTCTGAAATGTCTCTTTGTACATCTGAAATGTCCCACATCGCAAGGAAAGCACTGCAACATGAAGGTGATGAATCTGATGTAACATAGGGTTTGTAGGAGAAACTGTAATGGTGTGCTACTGCCGCCATACACATCTCAATACATATAAGGAAATTCTTAAAAAAATATAAACATATTTCATATAAAACAAAAAAGAAACGTATTTATAAAAAGTGCCTACCTGTAATCTTTTTGAAACACTTAAGCCATCAACAGTTTGATTTGGATTTGGCAAAATGGTCCTTGAATATACCAAAACATCTATCAAAACACCCTGACTGGAATAAAATTAGAATTAATAATATTGTTGATAAAGAAAAAAATTACACTAGCAACGTTAAAAAAAAAATCAGTGAAGTTACTGAGAAAGCAAAACAAAAGTTGGAAATAAATATTACTCTACAAAAATTAAGTGAAAGAGGGAAACACAACACTGATAAATAACTTCAAATAAGTTACAACTAATCACTGTAACAAGTGAATAAATTAACTTCTATATAAACTTACAAAAATGAAAAAAAGACAACTGCTTTAATGCAAAGAAATTTTGGCAGTGGTTTCATGGGTTTGAGTTCAGATGCTGTTGCTTTGTAGAATAAAACCAAACAGTACATTGCCATAAATTGAGAAAGATTATTGAATGCCACAAGGTAGGGAAATGCTACATTGGCTTTAAACTCACCATCTCCATATACATTATTTACTTTACATATGCTAAAATAATTACTTGTAAACAAACAGTAC